TACTAGGAGGGAATCCCACTAGGGGTTGGGATAAGTCTTAGAGCTCTACAGCTGTGCGTCTCATTCTTACTTTTTAAATGGTCAGATCGGGACCAGCCGGTGGGATGATGGTCAAGTCACTGGACTCTCATGTCGTCTACTGACACGGTGGCTTAAAACTCACTCTCGGTACCTGAATGTGCATGCCCAAAATCCTGAGAGATGAATGGAGGAGAGAGTGCGATGTAGCCATTCCCCCTCAGGGGTGATTTCTTGTTTTCTGTCTGTCTCCCTCTGTCTCTCTGGCAACTACACACTCCTTATAGCAAAAATCTCTCTTAAAAAATTTAAAACTTTCAAAATTTAAATGGTCATTAACCGTTCTATTAAGATAGCAGCTGAACCTGGTCTCCCTTCTCAAAATCTTTCTCCCCTCTAACCAGTCTTCTTTCTACATATTGTCATAGTGGAATCTTTATTTTGAAGAATGTGGCTGTAATTAGTAAAAAGATATGTCATAACTTACATTTTTACCTACTGATACATCCCAAGACAAATAACCGTTCAATAAATATCTTTTTCACAAATAAATGAGTTAATCAATGAGTGATTATGATAAAACAGGAGTTTTGTTGCCCATGAAACATTTTTGTTTTTATATTTTCATTTTTTAGTTATTCTTTCCAGTGATGGCAAAAATGAAGAAACTGAGAACCCTCATATTCTTGACAAAAGAGAATTTTACAACATAGTTTTTAGAAAAGCACTATAACTTTAAATTAGCCCTATAAAAATAGCCTAAATGTGGACAGAACAGGAAGTCTTATAAGCAAAAATGTTTCTTTTTTTTTCTTTTTTTGGAGTGGATTCCTTACACGTTAGCATCCATCCCAGATAAATCAAGACATTCGGTTCTTTTTTTTTTTTTTTTGAGAGGTTTTTGCTATAGGGTGCGTGCGCTCGCCAGACAGACAGAGAGAGACAGAGAGACAGACAGAAAGCGAGAAATCACCCCCCAGGGGGGATGGCCACGCCGCGATCCCTTCTCCTCCGTTTTCCTCTCGGGATCTTGGGCACGCACGCACACGCGCCCGGCTTGAGTTTTAAGCCACCGGGTCCGGGACACGAACCGCGGTCGACTACATGGAAGTCCAGTGACATAGCCATTACGCTAACTGCTGGTTCCCCTGGCGTGAGTTTTAAGCCACCAGGTCTGGAATGCAAACCGCGGTCGACCACGTGGGAGTCCAGCGACATAGCGACATAGCCATATGCCAACTGCTGGTCCCAAGCAAAATGTTTCTACAACATGAAAATATTAAAGTTCATTGGTAATGAAATAGTAAGAAAATGGAGATATAATCACTCAATAAGATATTATTTATTGGTTAAAAATTATTATTAAATTTACATAACAAGTGAAAAAAGGAACTAGAAATACACATCACAGTAACATGTAAAACATGCAGAAAGTCATGCAGAAAATGATGGCAAGGTAATTAGATTTGAATTCTAGCTCCTTGTAAATGGCATATATTTAGGTGCTTTAGCCTCTGTGGCTCCACTTCTTTGCATTAATTACAATGCGAGGATAATAAAACAACTGATCTCATAGAAGTGTTGTCCAGAGGTACATGCATGCTATGGCTGAACTGGAATAAGCAGTCGCTAGATACGACTAACACGGTGAGCATGTGAGGGTGACGAGCTGTTTCACTTTCGAAATCTTCAGTTCTGTGCTAATATTACACACATCCTGGTAGTGGCCTCTTTATCTTTTTCCTCCATCCTCACTGAGAAATATCCAGATCTGGGTCATTCCAGCCCATGGGGCTCTTGCTCTCTCCTCCCAGGAACTCCTACAGTGCCTCCTGCTTAAAGCGGTTGCTTGGGGAATGAGCAGATGACATAGCAGTTATATCGCTGGACTCCCACATGGCTAATCGTGGTTCGAGTCCTGGACCCAAAGGCTTGAAACTCACACCGGGCGCGTGTGTGAGCGTGCTCAAGATCCCAAGAAGAGAACGGAGAAGGGACTGTAGCACGGCCATCCGCCCATGGGGTGATTTCTTGCTTTCTGTCTCTCTGTCTCTCTCTGTCTCTCCAGCAAGCATGTGGGCCCAATAGCAAAAATCCATCTCTCTTTAAAAAAAATTTTAAAAAAGAACAGCTGCTCGGCAGGGTTATTGCCTTGTGTGCGTCTACACCAATTCCCAGGGGGGAAAGGGGCACCCTGGGTTCCCCGTCACGGGGTCACGGGCCTGTGAGCACGTAACCAAATCTACCTCAGCAGGGCCATTTGAGTTTTTAAACTGTATTTATTTATTTATTTTAATTTGACCAGAGAGGGACAGAGTGAGCGAGAAAGTTCAGGATTCCAACCGTGGTCGACCATGTGGGAGTCCAGCGACCTTAACCACCACGCCACCTGCCGATCATTTGATTGTTAAACGCTCTGGGTTTGGCAATCCTAGGCAGAAACATCTAGGGCACCCAGCATGTTAGCTCTCTTTCCAGCTCTTCCTTAGTCACAGTTTATTCCTGTGGTCACCTAAGAGCTAAGGAGACACATCTTGGGTTGGCTTTCCTCAGGTGGAGATTTAGACCCACCTAGTTTGACAGGCCAGAAGAGCCTGCCGAGAGACACTATCCGTGCCCTCAAGAGGAACTAATGTTGTTGTCTTCCCTGTATGGTAATAAATGTAATAAGCCAGGTCAGTGGGGATTAGTTCCTAGAACAACAGAGAGAGAGGTGGGAAGCCAGAGACTAGGTGGTGGGAGACTTCCAGGGAAAGAACCATTTGACAGGCAGGCTCCCATTCCTATTCCGTTAGAACCATGCTCCCAGTCCAAAGGCTCCGCGTTTCTGTGCCCACCGTTCCCAGGAGCAGGAACCCTGCGAGCGGACGCCTGTCGCTGTGCCAGCCCCTCTCGCATCTGTCACATCAGCCTATGTCCAGTTACATATACAGGGACCTGATGGCAGTGCCTGGCTGTGGAGTTACTACAGGAAAATGAAGGTTACTCTAACTGTGACAACTGGGGTCAGGACGAACCAGATTAAAGCTTATATGGATATACAAAATAATAGACTAATGCTATTGTCTGCCTCTCTTACCTTATTTTATTAGAAGGAACATATTAATTATAATGAAAGCAAACTTGGACTCTGTGGGTTTCTAAAGAAAATTCCTTTGTGGCATCACGGCAGGATTTCCCACCATTTTTCTCTTTCTGATGAAATTAACTCCCCATGGTTGGTCAGCGGGATCGTCTAATTTTAGCCAATCAGCTTGGGAGCTGCTGTTGACCTCACAAAGGGAGAGAGAAGTATCTGCAGTCATAGCAACCGCCCGCTCGGCTCTGATCATCTCTGGACCCTTCCGCCTAATGACAGACACCGGCTTGCTTCTTAGATGATTAATCTTTTCCCCTGTGAACCTTCTTGAATACATTAGCTAAACAAGTCTGATAAATTTGTTTATCCCAAGACAATCATTAGAAAATTACCTGCAAAAGTAATTCTCACTAGAGCAGTTTGTGAATGGAAAGCCATATGGCAGATAAAAACAGCAATAAGCAATAAAATCTCTTGCTGTATATTGCAACAGGTTCGGAAAGTTTTTCCCCTTTAAGCTTCATTATTTTGTACTAAATCACAAACGTACAGCAGCCTAAAGGCCATTTTACGTAAGCAGAAGGACCTGTCTCCTACTCACCAGTCATTCCTCCAGCCAACACTGCATGCCTACTATGTGCTGGGCTCCGCCTCCACGGCCTCACAGCCCAGTGGGAGGAGGCAGATGTGCAGACATAATTACAGCACACTGCCAGGGCAGAACGGGCGGGGGGCTGCGACGGCACCAGAGTGGAGAACCGTCTCATTTCCAGAGTCAACAAAGACTTCACTGTAGTGACATTCAGAGTAGGCGACAGCGGGTGTGCAGGACTTTTCCGAGAGGAAATAGGCAAAGAGAACATCGAAGAAGCATGGACCTATACACAACTGTGATGGACTCCGGGCAGCACAACGTCTAGAGCCGCTGATGTGAGCCATACTTTTTTCTAGGAAAATGACCCTAGAAATACAGGCTGCGCCTTGTAAGATGGCATTAGCACCATGTAGGGCCTCCAGAAGATGGAGACAGGGCCAGCAGAAGGTGTGGTTAAGGTGCCAGACTCCCAAACGGCGAGCCGCGGTTTGAGTCCCAGACCGGGCGATTCGAAAACCATGCTGGGCACATGTATGTGCATGCCCAGAATCCCAAGAGGAGGATGGAGGAGAAGGGGCTGCAGCGCCGCCATTCCACCCGGGGGACTGACTTCTCACTTTCTTCTCTGTCTCCCCAGTGCACAGGCCCTAGGGCAAAAACCTAAAACTGTAAATAAATGAAAAGAAGACTGACCGAAGAAGCGCAAAGGGAGGGCTGACCCGGATGCTCCCTGAGGCAGCATCTAGGCTTTCCTGAGGTTGGCCGCTCTCAGTGACGCTCCCGCTTGCAGCAAGAGTGAGAGCAACGAGCGAGCGGACGCTGGAGCCGTGCTGCTAACGTGGGCCGTTTCAGGGGAGTGGACACAGGACAGGCTCAGCTTTGGGCGGGAGTTTTAAATGCAAGGGAGCAGCTGCGGAGGTAGGGGCCATCATCAGTGTGGCAGACCTGATAGACCCTACGCGCTTTCCTAAGCCAATGTTGGAAAAACTCCTCTGAGACCAGGACCTGACACAGAAGGCATGGTCTAGATGGTGGTTTTAGGAGGATGGGACGGCGGGACCGAGTACGAGGCCCCAGAGCAATAACCTGACTCCGGTAAAACGGGCTCCAGAATCAGGCTGAAGTGCTGGGAGCCGCGTAGCCAGCCCGTCCATCGTGGGAGCCCCAGCAGGACAGGCGCTGTCCGCCCAGACCCAGACCTCACGTCCGCGTTCCTGCGTCAGCAGGTCTGTCCGACGTCTCCGTCTGGGTCCCTCACTTCTTATGGCTTCCAGAGAAGGCACCCACCACAATCTCGCCCCACCGGCGCCTCAGAAAGGAGTCAGTCATTGAGTTGAGGAGTCCATATTTTCTAAATTTTCAACAGTAAGTGCATATTAGTTTGTTAATAAAAACTTAGTTTTAAAAAGATCAAAATTAGGACATAAATGATGACCCTTTAACAGCAAATACAGAGCAAGTTGGACGTAACTGTCATAACTGCTCACGAGCCACCTGCTCGGTACTGGGCCTCCAGCCAGGCCCCCAAGTTCCCGGTCATTTAAGCCTCAAGGTTAGTCTCAGAGGAAGGGCTGCTGTTAACGTGCCCACTGTACCAGTGGGGAACCAGTATTGGAAATGAATATGCATGCAGTCGTATTTTCGGATACCTGTTTAAATAAACAGTAAATGGGAAGAGAAGAACAAAAGAAATAAAGAAAAATTGTCAAGACCCAGGGTTTTACAGAGAATATTGCCTGGAAGCTATAAAGCATGTCATCCAGTCCAAGCACTGTGCGTCAGGCGCGGGTCGCAAGAAGCAGGTGGTCCCCGGGGCACCAGGTACAAGGACAACGTAGTGTAAGGTGCTGGGACACGTACCTTACGGGGGCGGGGAGGGCTTGACAAGGACACGTGGGGGCAGCCTCTGCTTGTGCGTGCTGCTGAGCCAGTGGCGGCTTCCCCGCCTGAGCGCCAGGCTTCCCACTTGAGACCCGATAAACAGTGCTTCATTTGCATCGCATGATAACCTCAAGGGGTGCGATTCTCCCCTGGCATCTATAGAGCGAGAAATAGAGCTCAGAGGTTAGCAAGCTTTCCCCAAGTTACACAGTTATTAAATGATACATCTAGGATTTAAACCCACCAGTGCATAATTCCAAAGTTTAGGTCTTTTCCACCACGCCGTAAAACCACAGAACTATACTGTCAACCCATTCCATGAGTTCGGGTGAATGTCCAAACTGGACCATCCCACACTGACACAGTGACGAGGCCCTCACTCAGTGTCCTTGTCTTCCTCATGCTTCCTCCACACAGCAGATCAAAAGGCAGCATTTCCCAGAGTCAGGACACAGAATGCTGCTTTATGAAATCACCTGTTGTGATTCCAAAAACCACAAGCTCCTCCCTTCTCTATTATTTATTCTTGGTCTCTCCAGTCCCTGAAGATCGGCTGTGTATACCACTCTAACCCCTCTCTCTGACTTCCTCTTCTCCCTCTCTCCATCCTTCCCTCTCTCCCTCTCTTTAAGGCTACAGGTCCGTATTCTCCTTTTTACAAAGAAGCTCTTCATCAATGATAATAGGTCCTCTGTCCCTTTTCCTCTCTGAAATGACATGAGAACTATTGACCTTAATCTTACCTCTGTAAAGGCAGTGCCATGTGTTTACAACTCAGGATGAGAGGCTGCAAGACCGTAAGGTCTTATAGGAGAGTTAAAAGGTCTTATCATTTAACCCAGACCTGCCACAAACTCTGAAGAGCATAAGGCCAAAACAATTTTTTTTTTAATTTAATAAAAAGGACCTTCCATACAAAATAACCTTTTCCATTCACTTTCTTGAATTAGCCAGAGGGAAGTAACCTTTAGGACAAACCTATCTAGGCAGAAAGTCTGAGTTTTGTAGGGACGACGGTACGTTCTATCTTCTTGTTCACCCTGAACTGCCCACAGGCAGAAATCACAAAACGTGTTGGGATTCTACAGGAGCAAAGCCAATGGAATGAGGAGATTTTCATTCAGTGCAGGGTCATTCTGGACTAAATAAAGGATCTAACCAGTGGTTGGGAGTGTCTAACAAAATTCAGGTTCCCTGGGGCAAGAGGATTGGCAGTAGTCTTTGGCGAGCATGCTGAGGTCCAGAAAAGGCCACCTTTTCTAGCGGTGACATACAGAAAACCAGGGGCCAGGACAAAGCTCAGCCCACACTGGTGTTTCTGGAAGATCTGTCTCCTGCTCTCCCATCCTCTAGGGACTGTGCCGACTCGTGTTGCACGCCATTGACGGAGGAACTGTTCCCCTTCCCGGGTCAAGAACCTGCTAGAGCTCCCCGCTGCCTCCTACGACCGGCGTAACTGCAGCTTGGTTGGCTCGGACATTCTGGCTCACGCTCGTTAACCCCATGTAACTAATTACGGCATCCCCTACTGCCCCCGTAGTGTCCATTTCATTTTAACTGTGATCACCTTATTTTCCACCTACTGCAAACTCCTGCCCAATTTGCCATTCTTTCTTATGCTCAGTATTTCTCAAATCACTTGGGATTCACTTAAAGGAATGGAATCGAACACGCCATTATCATATGGTTGTCCCTGCAATCTGCCTAACTAGTTACCACCCGGCTGTGCTGAACCATGGTTCTTTGACACTCCGGAGAGGTACATGCTTACTAAGTTACATATTCCCATAGGCACACACTCAGTTTTAGAGCTGCGATGTTCAACACAGGTGTGTTGGAGTTGTGACTTCACCACTTACAAGCTGTGTGGCCGGGAGTGAATAACAGAACCTCTTCCAAAGCTCAGTTTCCTCATCTGTAAATACAAGGGTAGTCATGGGACCTGACTCAGAGAGTTAGTCCTAAGCTTCAGGCATCTGCTGCAGAGTATGCAGGCACAGGGCTCCATGCATACCTCTGGCTATTGGGGGTGGTCGCAGCCCTTCCCACAGCTGGCTCAGCCACCCTAAGACGGCTCACTCCACCCCGCGCTTTCACACTGTATGCACATAACAACTTAGAGACACATAGGGAAACGTTATGTCTTAGGAAGGGTTTCCCTTCAGCAAAGTCTGAGGCAGATCCTCTTTCAGATAATTTCCTGGGAGAGTGTTCTCGGGAAAGGGGCATGAAGGACGCAGGGCAGTGTGTGTGAGGAAGGGAAGAGGCACTGGTTGAGGTGTCAACTCTTGCAAATAAGCTTTAGTCTGGTCTCATGGAGGGGCTCTGGAGCACAGAGTGCATCCCAGTGCCAACCCCGCTGCAGAAGGGGTTCGGCTAGTCTCTAATGCCCACGTGGGCCTGCGGCGTCCCCCACTGTGTCACACAACCTCACGAAGCCTTTGAAGGCTTGTGCGGTAAGAGTAAGTCACTTAATTTCTCTAAGCTTTCATTCCTCACCTCCACAATGGCAGTGATGATAATTATATTGTAGGTCGTTGTCAGGGTTTAGAAATAACACAGTCCTGAACCCTGACAGTAGACGGGCACACCTATTTCCCCATCGGCTGGTTCACCTGTGTGCATTATGCATCTAAGTGCTCCCACTTATGTGTCTCTGCTCACACTCTCTCTCCTCTAAACTGTGGCTCCCCCAAAATCACGCTGGAGCACCTGTGTGCAAAGCACGTGCACACATACCCATACATGCATGCACACTCTTCCCCTCAACCTGCACCCACCCCCAAAAAAACCTCCCATGCATCTTCTACTTTCAAACCTGGTTCAAGTCCCACCTCCTCCTTCAGCCTCATCAACTTCCTCAAATTCTTACTGACATTCTCCCTCCCTAAAATCATTTTTCACTTAGCTCCATGTAGCCTAATATGTATTTGATATGTAATTGATTGCTGATCAACTAGTGTCTGTTGGTCTCTTACAGCCTGACTTTATATTTCTATTCCTCAGCTCCCAACCCACCACAGGATTCAGACAAGGTCTAAGCATCTAGCACAGGCTCAATATAGCCTCTTGGTTGATTAAAAAGTGCTTCTTGATCAGAAGGACAATTAAATGCGTTGGCTGACCATTGCAATCCTCTAGATGACCACGGCTAGTGAAGCCCTTCCCCGCGCTCCACAGGGGCTCAGCCAGGAACCTAGACCAACAGCACGTGTGAAACAGGTGGTGACTGGTAACGCTTCTCCTGCCGTTTAGCTCGCAGATGGGTCTTAGGTGAGCGTTTGCTACCGGACTCTACAGTTTCCGAAAATTGGTGTCCCAGGAGATGCGAAGTGGAATGCCCACCCCAGCTCGGACTCTGCTGCAGGCTGTGCACGTGTTACCACAGCAGTGGAGTGCTAGGCTTCTTGCAGCATCCCGAAATCGCTTCTCAAACCAGCTTACGTATTTAACACGTACAGTGTGGCTGTGTCCTCATTTACATGAACAGCACATCTCTAGAAAGTGGCCGCTGATTGGAACTTTTGGGGACGGGAATCAAGTTATATGTGAAGTTCCCTTTGAGCTCGTTTTCAGTGATGGTATGTATGATGCTATAGAAATTGTCCCTGCTCATAACTACCCATTCCTTTGCTTAGTTAATTTTATTTATTTACTTATTTATTTATTTTAATTTTTGCTATAGGGCACATGGACTCACCAGAGAGGGGGGGAAGGAAGTGAGAAATCACCCTCCAGGTAGGATGGCCATTCGCAGTCCCTTCTGCTCCAATCCCCTCTCAGGATTTTGAGCACGCACACACACGTGCCTGGCATGCTTTCTGGGCTGTCAGGCCTGGGACTCAGACTGCACAGCTGGCCGTGCCGGATCCATGCCTAACCTCCATACTACCTGCTGGCCCGATTTAGCTCGTTTTAACAGAGTAGCTATGAATCGGATGTGTCTAAATTTTTCTTTCAGGCTTTTTGAAAAGTAAATAAAATTTTTTAAAAGACCAGAATTCAATGCTGCTTCTTCTTTGACATCTTTTTTCCCAATTCAAACTACAATTTATTTATTTAAAAATAGAACTTATTTCAATATCATAATCCCATTTTACAGGTGAGAAAGTGAAAATTTGTAAGAGTTAAATATGAGGGTTACACATATGTTGCTTTTTAGGGCGACCAAAACGAAACCCCGTGGGCTGGGTGGCTCAAACGTGTTTTCTCACACTTCTGCAGGGAGGTCTGAGATAAAGGCTTACTAGGATTGACTTCTCCCGTGTCTTCTCACCTTAGCTTGCAGAAGATGTCAGCTAGAGGCGGATGTCTGTATCCAGCACAAAATCCACACTTACAGCCCTGGTCCCCGGCGCGAGGCATCTGGAGGTGTACTTCTAGGCAGTTTGGAGGTGGGACCTCCATGATGGGCTCCGTGGCTTTATAAAAGGAAGAGACAGCCTGCTTCCTGCATCACGCCTGCAGAAGGGCCAGGACGGCAAAACCGGGAAGAAGGCCTCACCGGGAAACAGACCAGACAGGCCCCCGATTTGCCTTCCAGCCTCCAGAGCGGAGGAAAGGAAATGTCTGTGGTTTAAACCACTTAGTCTATGGTATTCGTACCGGATTCGGGCCGAGGCACCATCTTCTCCGAGTGTCTTCACGCGCTGGCTCTTCTGTGCGTGCCTGTGCTCTAACCGCCGCTTCTTACAAGGACACCAGTAGACATGGAGTGAGGCCCTCCCCGTGACCCCATTTACTGTTTTTACTTCTGGGCAGGACTAGCTTCAGACACATCACGTGCTCAGGCAGAGACCGGGCCTTGGGCACGTAAATTTGGTGGTGGTGGGAGGAACAATCCTGCCCCAAACCCACAGCTGGTGGGTAAGGAGTCAGGACTGGAACCCAGCGGGCCGAAGACCGAACCCAAGTCTCACTTCCACCTTTGTCTACATTTTTCCCTTGATCTTTGTTATTTTCAGAATTATTTTAAGGGAAAGGTATCAAGTAAATAAAAGGTTTCATTTGCATTTCTCTACAGGCATTTCTGTACAATACAATATAGATGTAACTGAGAACTTTCCCCTGTGCAAAACTGTATATCAAAAAATTAGAGTTTGTGAGGAAAATAAAGTTGAGCAGACCACTCAAAATCTGTGAAACTTTGTAATAGGGTACAAATAAAAATATTGGTTTTTTATTTTATTTTAAAGTTTTGCCAGCGGGTGCATGCTCTTGCCAGAGAGAGACAGGGAGAGAGAGCGAGGGAGAGAGAGCGAGGGCAAGCGAGAAAGCATTCCCCCATGGGAATGGTTGCTCTGCAATCCCTTCTCCTCCACTCTTCCCTCCTTCCCTCCTTTTGTAGAAATTGTCCCTGCTCATAACTACCCATTCCTTTGCTTAGTTAATTTTATTTATTTACTTATTTATTTATTTTAATTTTTGCTATAGGGCACATGGACTCACCAGAGAGGGGGGGAAGGAAGTGAGAAATCACCCTCCAGGTAGGATGGCCATTCGCAGTCCCTTCTGCTCCAATCCCCTCTCAGGATTTTGAGCACGCACACACACGTGCCTGGCATGCTTTCTGGGCTGTCAGGCCTGGGACTCAGACTGCACAGCTGGCCGTGCCGGATCCATGCCTAACCTCCATACTACCTGCTGGCCCGATTTAGCTCGTTTTAACAGAGTAGCTATGAATCGGATGTGTCTAAATTTTTCTTTCAGGCTTTTTGAAAAGTAAATAAAATTTTTTAAAAGACCAGAATTCAATGCTGCTTCTTCTTTGACATCTTTTTTCCCAATTCAAACTACAATTTATTTATTTAAAAATAGAACTTATTTCAATATCATAATCCCATTTTACAGGTGAGAAAGTGAAAATTTGTAAGAATTAAATATGAGGGTTACACATATTTTGCTTTTTAGGGCGACCAAAACGAAATCCCGTGGGCTGGGTGGCTCAAACGTGTTTTCTCACACTTCTGCAGGGAGGTCTGAGATAAAGGCTTACTAGGATTGACTTCTCCCGTGTCTTCTCACCTTAGCTTGCAGAAGATGTCAGCTAGAGGCGGATGTCTGTATCCAGCACAAAATCCACACTTACAGCCCTGGTCCCCGGCGCGAGGCATCTGGAGGTGTACTTCTGGGCAGTTTGGAGGTGGGACCTCCATGATGGGCTCCGTGGCTTTATAAAAGGAAGAGACAGCCTGCTTCCTGCATCACGCCTGCAGAAGGGCCAGGACGGCAAAACCGGGAAGAAGGCCTCACCGGGAAACAGACCAGACAGGCCCCCGATTTGCCTTCCAGCCTCCAGAGCGGAGGAAAGGAAATGTCTGTGGTTTAAACCACTTAGTCTATGGTATTCGTACCGGATTCGGGCCGAGGCACCATCTTCTCCGAGTGTCTTCACGCGCTGGCTCTTCTGTGCGTGCCTGTGCTCTAACCGCCGCTTCTTACAAGGACACCAGTAGACATGGAGTGAGGCCCTCCCCGTGACCCCATTTACTGTTTTTACTTCTGGGCAGGACTAGCTTCAGACACATCACGTGCTCAGGCACAGAGACCGGGCCTTGGGCACGTAAATTTGCTGGTGGTGGGAGGAACAATCCTGCCCCAAACCCACAGCTGGTGGGTAAGGAGTCAGGACTGGAACCCAGCGGGCCGAAGACCGAACCCAAGTCTCACTTCCACCTTTGTCTACATTTTTCCCTTGATCTTTGTTATTTTCAGAATTATTTTAAGGGAAAGGTATCAAGTAAATAAAAGGTTTCATTTGCATTTCTCTACAGACATTTCTGTACAATACAATATAGATGTAACTGAGAACTTTCCCCTGTGCAAAACTGTATATCAAAAAATTAGAGTTTGTGAGGAAAATAAAGTTGAGCAGACCACTCAAAATCTGTGAAACTTTGTAATAGGGTACAAATAAAAATATTGGTTTTTTATTTTATTTTAAAGTTTTGCCAGCGGGTGCATGCTCTTGCCAGAGAGAGACAGGGAGAGAGAGCGAGGGAGAGAGAGCGAGGGCAAGCGAGAAAGCATTCCCCCATGGGAATGGTTGCTCTGCAATCCCTTCTCCTCCACTCTTCCCTCCTTCCCTCCTTTTGGGATTTAGAACACACACACACACACACACACACACACACACACACGTCATTTGTGCTTTCCGAGTTGACAGACCAGGACTCGAACCACAACTGGCCATGTGGAACCCAACTACCTTAAATACCAAGCCACCAGCTGGCCCAACAGTCTTAAGAAATATCTAGCCTTTAAATTTCTATTGGTGCATTTGCACCCAGCCGCAAATTGGTCTCCATCATTTTCAGCCTTAACCCCACAGCCTGGGAGTCACCGTCCTTCAACATGGATGTATCAAAGATCCTTTGCATCTAATAGCAACCACTTTAATCGAAATTTTACAAACATTATCCTGAGTGCTGGCTTCATAAAGACAGAGTCTTTGTAGTCTCCTTAATATTGTTTATGAGCACCCTGCTCATCAAGACTAGCGAACTTCAAAGGTCTCTGAAACTGTGAAGCCCACACACGCTTCTATCTTCCAGAACTGGTAAAGCAATTATCATAATAACAGCTACCGTTTACCAAAAGCGTACCAGGTGTCAGACTGTGAACTAAGGGTTCTGCACGTTCACGCTCAATGACAACTCTGCAGCGAAAACATTCTCATCACCACCTTTCAGCTAAGGAAACTGAGGCACAGAGAAATGATAGGACTTCTCTAAAAATAGACTTATCCCACTTAACCCGGAACTTTATAGGGATCTGTGTTCATTGTCATCGTGTTCATTTAGAGCCATTCTTTCAGGCATTAGTAATCTTTTTACATTTGTCATCTGTTTTATCAATTCTCCTCATAAGCTAAAGTTCTCTGCCAATTGATTAACATTCACACACCCTCATTTAATTAACAGAGACACTGAACAGAATCAAAATTAGACTCTCACCCCCGCAAAGAATCTCCCTCCAAAATCATACAGATAAGCTATTCATCCATTCAACTCTCCTACCATTCAGCCTTCACTGAACACCCAGGAGTTTTTCAGGAAAGCCCGTACCATCTTGATGGGGACAAGATACAGTTTGTCCAAGCATTTCGTTCTTCAACCAAACCAAGAATGGCTCTGCTTTTCTTTGGGGTACTTAGAATTCATCAGATTTATCATTTGGTTTTCATTATTTCCAATTTTTATTGCTGAAATTTAGTAGTCCCACTTTTACTTTTTCTTTTTAGGTTTCTGCCATGGTGCACCCGTACTCGTCAGAGAAAATCAGAGAAAGGCAAAA